AATTTGCTTAATTTTTCACCCAAATTTTGTCTTTTTGGTTTACTGCCTCTGTCTGTAACCCACAACCCTGACAAGGGGTTAAAGGTTAGTACACTACATAGGCAGAGAGCACTCAACTCATTTTATTTCAGCTCTCTTTCTCTTGGATGACCTAGAGAAATACTGACTTAATAAGGTCACAATAGTGGCGTTTGATGATTTTTCAACTCACACTTGTTATGTGTATATATTGGAGCATGAACCAAGATTCAAAAAATATGGTTAAATATAGAAATGAGATCCAGGTAGCATATTTTAATGTTTATTCTCCTCCTTTCTACTTCCTCTTTCTACCAAGACAAAGCCACTTTTTTATGTGCTTCTACTCCTTGCCATTTGTCTTCTCCTTGTAAAAGCAAATGGAGTGGTTTATGTTAATCATCTATATTGGTCAATGTTTTAGTAAACCAAGAAAAAGCACGGTAATTATAACATCTATCTGACTTGGTAATAACTTACTGAAATGCATTGATGTGTCACTCATTCTCTTATGCCCACCCTTGCTACCTTCCAAAGTCAGATGTACTTTCTTCCACAACAAAATGCCCCACTAACCCAAACTTATTACTATTGCTGTCTGACATGCTACCCCCCTCCTCTCTCCATCATCTTATGATTAGCATCACTGTTATGTGACTCTTCAGCTTCCTGAGTAAAGCACTATGATGTTCTGCAGAAAGTAAAGATTTCATCATCATAGAAGAAATGTAGCTTTTGTAGTAATTTATTCTTTTGTACCTGGACTAAAGCTCAAGATCAGGAACCTCCCTGGAAATCTGCTTTTGATCCTTTCCCACCTTGTCCAATAAATGTAGCATCAGTGACTGAATCCACATGAGACTATGAGTATAAATATTTGTTCCAAAACATATATACCATATTTAAAAAATTCATTTCTTGGGGTTTGCTTTTTTATTTAAAGAAAGCATTCTAAACAGTTGTGGTAGCCTACTGCACTAACAATGGAAAGAATAGCCAGCTGTGGTTACCTGCAGATTCAAGACAGCAAACTCACACAGCATCAGTGTTAGCAGGTGTCAGTAGTTCGTGCCCTCCCAGTAGGGGTCAGTAAATTGCTGCAATGCTCTACACCTGATTTTCAGAAGATAAAGCTGAACGCAGTGAGGTCTTTCTTGACTGGCATAAATATATACATAATTTTTGAGAAACTCAAATATTATTTTATTGCTGCTAATCTCAGTGAGATCTGAATCCAGGAGACTAACGTTAGCGGAATTCAAAAATCTAGATAGCAATTGACCATTGCATTTGGGCTGGGCTCACAGAAAGGTCATTAGAATCAGATTGTGCATTTACATAGAATCATAGAATCGTTAGGGTTGGAAAGGACCGTAAGATCATCTAGTTCCAACCCCCCTGCCATGGGCAGGGACACCTTACGCTAAATCATATCACCCAAGGCCTCGTCCAACCTGGTCTTGAACACTGCCAGGGATGGAGCATTCACAACCTCCCTGGGCAACCCATTCCAGTGCCTCAACACCCTTACGGTACAGAACTTCTTCCTTATATCCAATCTAAACATTCACTGTGTAAGTTTTAACCCATTACTGCTTTACCTTTCACTACAGTCCCTAATGAAGAGTCCCTCCCCAGCATCCCTGTAGCCCCCCTTCAGATACTGGAAGGCTGCTATGAGGTCTCCACACAGCCTTCTCTTCTCCAGGCTGAACAGCCCCAACTTTCTCAGCCTGTCTTCATACAGGAGGTGCTCCAGTCCCCTGATCATCCTCGTGGCCCTCCTCTGCACTTGTTCCAACAGTTCCATGTCCTTTTTATGTTGAGGACACCAGAACTGCACACAGTACTCCAGGTGATTACTTATACTACTAACCTTTTTTCAGCTCATGAGCATGTAGCTTCTGTATTCTAATGGATTGTGGCACTTGCAGCAATGAGATGAGCTTCCTGATTTTCATGCATGCAACCTTCAAAATTAGTGACTTGCCCTTGGGATGATAGGCAAAGAGGTCCTTTGTTTTCTTTGAGGTGGTGAGGGAAACAGGAAAGGTATGAATTTGTTGATTTTAATTTCTCTTTTTACTCTGTGAGTAGCTACTCAGTGGTATTTGGTAACTTAGAGTCGTCTTACATCAAATTTTACTTTCTATCATCATGTGATTGTAAGAATTTTTGGTACATGAAATGTACTTTTTCTTAGGTTCTAAGTTTTAAATATAAGGAGATGAGAAAAGATAAAATCACATTTGTATATATTACATGATGTTGAAACAAATGGGAAACACGAGACTTTAATTACCTTTTACTGCTGTCTTATATGGCTGGTGCCCTCTGGTTCCCAAGTAGTTTAGCTTTGCCAGTGTTTCAGGGCTTATTGAGGTGTTTGTTACTGTAAAGAAGTTTTATAAGATAAGCATTAGCTAAACAAATTACTTCTGAGCTTGAGAAAAGCTTTCTCTATGTAAATGAACCATAATAGAATCTCTGGCGATTGATGGAAAGCATGAGCACTCTGCGCTGCTCCAGTTCTAGAGGCAGTGTGTCACATCTCAGCTTTGGTGTCAACATCCACGTTAATATTTTCATTAGAGAAGAGATGTGCGTGTTTGGTGGAACTAGAGAAAGCACAGGTTTTGTTATTATCAGAAGCTGTATAGGTGTTCCTTAACATTAAGCTAAAAATTAAGTGACCCCTCTTTTGAACAGTGTATGTCCACCACAGTAATTAAAGTGCGGTTAAAGTGGAAACAGAGTTCCTTATCTGGTGAACAACTGGGAAGTATTGAAAATAGCTTTATTTTACACATTTGTTTTTATTCCAAGTCCTGATATGAGGAAAAAAAAAAAAAATCAAAACAAAACCCAACCAAAAACCTAAGATCTAGCAATTGCTAATTTTTTTAAACATCATAATTAGGTTTCACAAAACGTGTGATCGTGTATTTAGAAACTTGCAGCTGCTGCTCTGAAGATGTTAGCATCTTTACAGAGAAAGGACTTAATTCTGTGTTATGGCCAAATTCTACTTAATGATCTGGACAAGCTGCACACAGGCTGTTGCCTTATCTGTCATGTAGACCAGCTGTATGTGGTCCTGACGGATTTCAGAGCACTGGGAGTTTACCTTGATCTATGGAAAGTCTATAATAACACCAAACAGAGCACAAGGCAGTTATCCTGCATCTTTGTTTTGCACTTCCAATCCAGCAAGAGTCACACTCTGCCAGCTGAATGGTGAAGATGCAGGAAGTTACCAGACCACCCCAAGTGTAGGCTTTTGGCAAGTGCCTCATAGACGAACAACTGCCAACCATCCAGCACTAACTAAAAGGGGTCTCTGTGCGTGACCTCAGTGACATGAAGAGGCTCAAGCAAACAGAAATATCTAGTCAGAGAACAAAGCTGTTGGGGAGAGGCATACAACTGACTGGAGGAGAACATATGCAGGGAAGCATACAGCTTTGAACTTCCACTAAAACTCAATTCATAGTGCCGTCATAAATTTAGCCACAGACCTCTAGCTGTGACATTAATTTCTTTTTAAAATTGAGTAATTGATGCAGCCTTATTGCTGGATAGATTTTAATCGCCTTTGGCTCTACTTTTAGTAATTGCAATCTTTAGTAAAACGAAAGACCAAAAAGAAGAAAGCCTTTCTAAATTTCCCTTCTAAAGCTGGTCTGCCCTCCAAATTGATCAGTTTAGCTTTTTACTCGTTCTTAATCTAAATGAAAATAAAAATAAATAAACATAAAAATTGTAAAAACTTATTTTTAAAACTTACAAGTTTAGTAAATTAATGTTTTGTAAATAATTCTGAATGATAAACTAGTCATTCTTGGGTTTGGGTTTGGTTTGCGTTTTTTTCTATATTATTGTTATCATTTCAGTTCAATGCTAATACCAAAAAATTAGTTTAAATTAATTAGTATTTCCAAAGGGTCTTCTACATGTTTACTGTCCTTAGCTGACTCATTAACATGAAAGGGTTTGGTTTCAAAAATCAACGTTTTCTGGGAGAGATATTTGTGCAATATTTTTTTTAATGTGGATATTACTGAGGAAATTTCTGGTTATGGACTGCACTCTTTCCCTAATTTAAAACCATCTGAATTGTTGTGGATTTATTTATTTTTTTTTTTAATAACCCAGTTAATTTTAACTACGATTTATTCAAATTAAAACTGGAGCATACCTTCTAAATAAAATGTCTCGTAAAGGACTTCAAACGATATAGACCATACACTATTTGATGAGGAATTACATAATATTTAAAATTTGTTTTCTCTCTGACTGCTGTTGACCTCAGTTTTCAGGTACAAGATTGCTTTTTTTTACTGGAATAGGGAGTTCTCTGCCTTTTGGTTCATTAGTCCTTCCTTGGTAATTGTATATTGTGCCTTTCTTTCCTGTCAGAAGCTTCTTTAGAAGATTTTAGATTTTCATATGTTTTGATCTTTGAGTAGAAAGAAGACAACAGAGATGTATTTTGGTCTACATAGTTGTTTCTGGTCTTAAAATCAATGATGCTATTTAAAAACTGAATATAACATTCATTTTTATGTCTGCAAGCTTTGGAGCTTGGTCTCCTTTCTGCTTCTAATGTGATATATTTTTAGAATAGGAACATGGATTTGGTCTTAGAGCAAATATTTTCAGTGATAAATACAATTCTTACTAACACTTTTGCATAAAAAAAAAGCATCCACTAAGGTGAGAATTTAGACCATGATTTTCAATTACAGGGATAAAAGATGATTACCATAAAAGCATTTCCAGAACAGCTTGAGCTCAGCATCTGTGAGTTACATGCTCACAGCTAGTATGAAGTTGAATCCCAGTATATTAATATTTGTCCTGGAATTTTCCATTCACCCTGGACAGTAGAAGATACTATCACCGAAGGCAAAAGTGTAAAGAAATGCTCACAAATCAAGATTAGCAAATAATTTTCCCAGCATATCTATTTAAATGCATACCTGAAAAAAGGACTGAATAGCTGACAGCCTTTTCTGGTGGAAGGGCTTTGTAGAATATGATTGGATGGTAGTATTGAAAATGTGATTCCCATAATGCCAAATGCATTTTGTCTTCTGAAAAAAAAAAAGAAAAAAATACACCTATTCTATGATTCTGATGAAAAAAATAGTGAATTTAATGGCTTTAAAGTAAAGATGCTATAGCTTCTTTGGAAAACTGTAATACAGACTTGCTCCAGTTGGTTTATGAGATACTACGAAAACTAATAGATGTCACTAGACCCTTATTTCAGAAATTGCAAGTTACAGACTCCTCTGTAGTAACTTGCCAGTTTACACAAACCTTTGCCATCTACCATAGCCCTTTGCAGAGAGTCAGTCATGATAGAGATGCTCATGTTCATGAGTGCAAGGAAACTAAAAGATAACTAATTTTATTCATAATGGCATTGCCTGCATTCTTAGAAATAACATAAAAAAAAAAAAAATAGCTTTGCCCTGAGTTAAGGTACAGCCAAGCTGTGTTCAGGTCAGACAGGTTTTGACTCTAGTGGAAGGAAGCTAGTTTGGGGACCGGGGAGGAATTCTTTCTTTCCTCTTTTCATAGTGAAGAACTGCACATGGTCAAAATGAGTGCTTGCTGTTGGGAACTGTGGGCTTTCTTTACAGATTTCTTTCCTCTTTCTTATTAAAATATTCTTAAAAGCTAAAAAAAAAATAGTTTTTTTGACTTTGGTCAAATAAAACTTTTCATTTGTGCAAAATTTTATTTAAGTTTTGATTTACTGGTAACCATTTAAGTTTTGATTTACTGGTAACTGAGCAAGTCAACTGCCACTTTAAAGAAAAATGTCCAATACAATGTTTTATGTACCCTTTACAGTCATATTTGCAGATATAATATATTTACAGGAAATCAGTTCAAGTACAGTAAGGATGTGTAAAAAAAAAAAAAAAGTATGTCATTTCATAGGTTAAATTATCATAAATTAAAAATCCCATTCTCTGATTTAAAAGAATAACCTAAGTATGTCAGCAATGCTCTCATAGGGATTTCTTTTTTTTCTTCTTCTTCCCTTTTCTTTATTGGTGGTATTAAAAGCATGTACTATTAAAAATATAGAGAGGAGCCTGACTTTGGGGGTGCTGTTTGAAATCTGTGAGGGATGTGTGCCTGGGTTTTTTTTAAAGCACATGCAACCCAATCGTGTGGAAATTGTTAGTCTAGTTCTTTAGTTCTGTGAGGAGAGTGAGAAATAATGTGAAGTTACAGTGAACCCATCTGGCCAAGCAGGAAAATCCAGTTTAATTGCTCCATTGCCAGAAATGTTAAATCACTTCCTGGGAATGCAATTCATTTGGAACATATGGAACTCATTGAATTGTCTCCAGTGAATTCAGAACCGTACTGGAGATGAGAGCATTTCTCATAAGTAACAATCATGTTTTCCCACTGGGCAGCATGTAAGCACTATGTGTAGCCGATTAATGAAAAACTAAACCAATAGTAAGACTGTCTCAGATCTTGTTGAACAGCATTTGCTTGTGGTTTCCTTTATTTTAAATTTTCAGGAAATGGTATGTTCATCTAAGATTTTTTTTTCTTCAGCTTTTAAGCAGCAACAGAACATTCTAACAGAATTTATTAGCTCGTTTTGCATCTTAAATCAGCAGAATTACACTCTGTTTAGAAAGCAGACATATTTGAAAGTATCATCCAAAATGATTTTGAACTTTGTGGATAAAGAGGGTTGGTTTGAGTGGGTTTTGGCTTGAGGGGTTTCTTCAATTGGGAACTTTAAATTTACTACATATTCAAAGAAAATGGGAAGATTTTCAATTTTTCTGTAAACTTAGTAAATCTAAACCTTCGACTAAATATATACATATGAGTTCTTAAATTGTAAATAATGAGGAAGATTTGCTTGTTTACATATATTATTTCAGCAAAAATAAATCTTTCATCATTGTTACAATGGGTTCAGAATCTCTAAGTATGTAACAATACCATGTTCCGAGTCCAGCATTTATATTATTTGCAGTCTTTACAATAGGAAGAATAGTAATATTATTTGGAAAAATTATACTTCCTATTCTGTTCTAAAAAAAAAAAGAAAAATACTTTCCTTGATTTGATGTTACTATAAGGGGTTTATTTAGTGACAATTTCTTCTTTTTACTTGGGTTCACACGAATTTAAGAAAATATTTGGTACTTGGAAAATGCTGTACTTTTTGCTTGTGTGGTTAATCAATAAGACCATATCAGGTAAAAGTAGTTCTTCTAAGTTTAAAAGTACATGGAGGAAATGGAACCATGTTCTGCTGAAACAAATGATATCAAGAAGAAAAGGCAATAAAAAGAAATCTCTGCACTTATATTACATATATTACATACTGTGGAGAAGCTAGAGTGGTGAAAAATGGTGGTGACAGGTAGTCACCACATTATGAGGTCCTTCTCGTAATTATTCTAAGAAAACTTATATACTTTTTGAATGTATTTCCTTATCTGAATGCTCTAGTATTATTTTTTCCCCCATGCACCTGACTTGATTTTAAAATCCTTACTTTTGGTAACATGCATAATAGATATTGGTCACTCTAGAATCAGTCTTAGTGAATTGCTGCACAATTACTGTAGGAATGTAGGAAAACCTTTTATCTGTAAATCTCAAACTACCTTTACATTTTCTGGATCTTATAGTGGTTCTTCATCCTGCTTAGAAGTACTAATATCGCAACTTACACATCTGCCCTGAAGCTTTATAGTTCTATGTATTTTCAGCTACAGCTTTCTACTTGGGCTAAACCTGTTGAACAACTCTAGCAAACTTTAGAACTACCATCTAACAAATTTACTAAAATTTATGTTTGGCTGTTAATCAACATGTTTTAGTGATCATCAATTAGAAATATTGTCTATTTCCAGGAAATAACTTGACCTGACAAATGGCAAGATTGACAATGTTTTAAAATCTGATATGCTTGTATGAAAAAAAATCTTCATGCTAATGGGAGCTGATTCAGAAGTGATCATTCAAGCCAAAGACTTTACCGGTGACTCACATTGCAATTAGTGGAGAGAACATGTCTAAGTCTGTCACAAAACCATCAGAGGTATTATCTTCTGTACCTGTTACTCTGTCATATGCCCACTGAGTCCTGTAACTGCTCCCCCCACCCCAGTTCACTGAATCATAATTGTTCATCTCGGACTTGCATTTTAGACCTTAGAGCAAAGACTGTTCCCATCAAATGGTTGTCTCTTTTCCATGACAAAGCTATGCTTTCAATACTGTTTGCTGCTACATCTCCAGTTATCTCAATGTTGTCTCTTAAGGTTTTCTTAGAGGAAGCCATCACACTTTCTTTGTTGTGGGTTTGGGTTTTTTTAGTAGCTAACAGTGCTCAGCATTAAAATGTGATGATAACCTGTCCCTGTCTTTCCTTCTTTTGTCCTGATCCTTCATTTTCATTTATACTAACGTTTCTTCAGTCTTCTGTTTTATTTTTCCTGTTTGCTTGCTTGTTTCTCACCTTTCCTCTTTAAACATTTCCTTCCTGAGCAAACAGTAATAATGAATCTGGGATTTTCTTTCTTATTTTCTTATTTTTCTTAGCCAGTGTAGCCACTCAGGTCTGGGAAAGAGAAGAAAATTACATACTGGTTTTGAAAATTCTATCGATTACTTTTTTAGAAATCTATATGATAGGCTTTTTTTTAATCTTTTTCTCTCCTCTGTAGCTGATACCTTGATTTATCTTGTAGTTTTATTGTTTCTTTGGCATGTTAACTTTCTTCAGTCTGTGGAAGTTAAAGCCTTTGTTGAATTACTGGAGCAAAATGGTGCTTCTTCTGAACTAATATATGTTTGTAAAAAGAAAAGGAAAAATTTCTCAAGCAAGGGGCTGTTGTAGTTTAAAATAATATTAGTCTGATGGTACATCAAACTCAAGCACCAGATATTTAATTAGTCAAAATATAGGTGAAAAAAAGAATCATAGAAGGATTCCTACGGTTATTACCATCTGTAAGGTTTTTATTAATATATATTTTCTGAAGTATTCTATTTGAAATTTTGTACAAACTATCATCCAGGAAATGCTATAAAATACTATTTTGTATAGCTGGACAAGTGAAATCCTGAAATGAAATTTCAAAGTCTATTTCAGTAGCTCTATAGAAAGTCTGAAACTGGCTGTTTTGTGATTTTTGTCCATCAATCCCCTCTTTCTTTTTCTGTGAAATCTGCAGTAGGAAAATTCCATTTTACTATTCATTCAATCCATATCTTACTTATTTTAGGAAAAATACACTCAGAAAACTCTGCTTTAGTCTGAAAGAAAAGTGGGTTTATGCAATATTTTTACATCTATTGCAAAGAAACAATTTTTCAATTCCAAAACCAGCTGCAGCCGATATGAAAACACTTCTATGGTTTGTCTTTTAAAACTTCCGTGAAAAGAAACTTTGTTTTAGAACAACATATGTCTAAGCACAAGTCCTCCCTATGTGGAGTCAATGGCAGAACTCTACTTGAGTTCCGCAGAAGAAATTTTATTCTCATCTTCAGCCACACTGGTTTTGTGTTCACTCCTTTAGAATTATTTAGTAATCTCCCAGTAGAATTTTATGGGCATGTATTCTAGGATGATTATTTCAGAATGTTATCATTGGAATATCTTATTAACTTCATCCTTCATCTCTTCCCTTTTCTCCTAGTCCTTTTTTTTTTTTTAAACAGTAATTAGGGTCATAATAGATTATAAGACACTCAAATGGGAACTGTACATTTCTCTCCAGAGTGCTTAACAGAGTGCGACCTCAGATCTCTCCAGACCTTCTGGATGCTCGTAAAATCTGCTTTAAGGTTTTATAAAGTTTCTCTACTAGACTTATTTTTTAATAGTGGTATCATTTATTTATTTCTTTCAGGCTATGCCAGTTATTTCAGAGAAGGAGAAAGCTGGTGAGTAAATATTTACTTGTTTTCTCATTTTGTTTTATTTGTTTTGTGGAATACAGTGCTACTTATCTAAGTGAGAAAATACAGGCTTCAGCTCCAGGGTTTTCGACATGCAGGGTTACAGACCTGACAAATGTCTGTGTAAACTGGTCTGTTGTTTCCTGAATAGGGTATTTTCTTTCGGGAAAGCAATCCAGCTTTCTGTATGATACTAATGAAAATATTTGAAACTATCCTACGAAGTAGCCAGTTAAATGGCAGCTGCCTCTTTTGTATGTCAGTCTTCCTCTAGGTACTTACTTGTTAGTTGGTGTTAAAATCTGTTTTGATTTATTTGATGTCTCGATTAACAGATGTGGATGCCAATGGGTTTGTTGAAGTCAGTGGAATTTGATGACTTACTGTGAAATTTCCAGTCTGTCTTCAAGTATGTCAGGAAATTTCAGTTATCTGGAGTATTTCATTGGAAATAATTTTTTTTTTTTTTTTTTTGCTAAGTTCTTCCAGAATATTGAAAGGTTTTTTTCCTGTTCTTTTCTGTTATATGTTTTCTGCATAGGATGCATGCTTTGGTATCGGTGTGTGAAATCTAGTAGTGATTGTCTACTGGACATTGTCAAATGGGTGAATTGTTGTGACACCCTAGTGAGCACTTCACTTGGCACTGTAGATCTCTAGAATCTCTGTTGGTTTCTTCATAATTTATTTGAAGTGATTGTTACTACAGTACCTTAAATATGGCTTGAAAAATAGCTCAAAATATCCAAATGTCACCTGGCATTCTGATTTATGTCTGATTTTTGTTGGTGACATTTTCTTGCATTATCCTATTTCAGATTATTTTTCTCATTTTGCTTATTAAGGTGGCGGGACAGGTTAAAAAGGATAAAAAAAAAAGGGGGTTTGAGAGAAAAGCCATAGTGCTAATCTGTACTGTAAAAGCTATGGAGCTGGCTGGTCAGGATGTTGTTATTTTAGCTGTTGAACTTCATAAATAATTCTCAAACTGTGACCCATATTTAATAAGCATTTTCTTTATAGACTTCACAAGTGGTATTTATTGGTATTTCTTTTTCTGAGGGAGTTCATATTTGGCCACGTCCTTTAAATTATTTCCAAACATGTAAACCAATTAAACTGCGCCTACCATTTGCACCTTATCTCAAATATTTTGTGAAGCAGCCATGAAGTATTGCGGGGTTGTGTACATCTTTAGCAGTTATGTACCATACAAGATGAAAAACTATCTGAAAGTCATTAAAAAATCTTCAGGGCATAGAGATATAATGACCCCAGTTTTATGCTAGAGGAATAGAGTTGCAATGAGTGTTTGCCATAGCTAATGGCTTGTAAAATCAGAAATAAAACTCAAAGATCCATGCTTGTTTTTCAGTGCCAAAACTACCTATCTTGTCAATGTTATGATGGTTTGAACTAAATGTATTTTTGAAATACATTTTGTAACCTGTACATATGTATATGAATCTGACCTTTCTTCCTCCTCGGACTTCAGCGCTGTCTTCAGTATTTGTAGAGGTTTAACCACACTGTGTTATCAATATTATTCTCAGACTAAATCCAACACACAGCACCATACCAGCTACTAGGAAAAAAAAAAATAATTCTATCCCAGCTAAAACCAGGACTACATTATATTTATTACTGTAAATATTAAGTGGAACTTGATGCCATGCAGAGTCAGATTGCTGACATTTCCATGTACATGAGCACAAGCTAGACTGTGAATGGAATGTGGTTGCCTTTTAATCAGTTTTGTCTTTTGTTTAACTCTTCACAGGTCAGGAGCTCATGAAGCTCATGGCTTTTTGGAAATACTAAGCAGGCATTAGGAAAATGATTATTTAAATCAGGCCTATTGACTGAAGTCACTAGGTTCTAGGGGTAGTTAGTGCTATTTGTTTTTCAGATGTGAATGGAGCTCGAGTTGGACATTCTGGTCTCATGTTTTCAGTTTTACTAGTCATTTAATCACTGCTGCTTACACTTCAACAGAGAAACAATATTTCATAAGACTCATGAATGCCAAAGCCAGAAGCGTGGAAGCCTTCAAAAAGAATATAGCATATTTGCATGTCTTCTTTAAGAGAACAAAATAGACAATAAGTTTTTTATTTGTACATAACAACAATCTCTTTTTAGTTTATATTATTAGAAAGGGACAAAAATATATTACAGAATACTACAGACAAATAGGAGTTGTTTATTTTACTACTGAAAATGCTAGTAAGACAATAGGTAAAGAGACTGGATAGCATTGCTTTAAAATTAAAATTTGATTACAAATGCACTCAAAATGTCTAGTCAAACGTTATATCATTTTGAAAACTTGAAGTAATAATTTCTTGTAGCTTTCCTTCTTTCCTACTTGAGATTACTTGGTTTCATCTGAAAGTGGAATGAAAAATACAAGAAAGTAGAAAGGCTGTTATTTCAATGTATCTGGTTCAGAAATTCTATATACATAAATAAAATCCTGTTTTTACAAGACTTTGTTCTGTAGACTCAGATACCTTGATATTCTCAAATGCTTTTCCTATAGGCAAACAAACATTTAGATCTTTAAATGGACTAAGCTTCTCAAGTAGTTTAGAAGTTCACACATTACTGATTATGTTCATAGCAGTTGCTAATTCTTGAAATTAATTTTTTTCTCAATTTTATGTATTTTCCAACACACAATAAATTCTGACTACATCAAATACAAACTTTCAGATGGAGTACTTAAAAAAAACACGCACATGCTATTTTTAGATTTAGAGCAAAACCAAATATTATCTGAAAACATTGCTACTTTTGTCAATAACTCAAATTGCATAACCATTTTTTTTGTTGATTGTTTGGGGGGTTTTACAGTGGAAAGCGCAGTAAAGTCTGCAATTGCAGAGTCCCTTTGGCAAAAATCTATAAATGATCACTATTGAGGAGAACATCAGTTATGACTATGTAAACTATTGCTTCAATTTGTGTGAATTAGGGCATTGCAAAAGACATACTTTGGCATCAGCTATTTCTGAGAAATGCATTTTTAAGAAGTCTCAGTGCTTTTGACATTTCTGGCAATGATGAAAAAAAATCTTTCAAAAGAATTTTTTTTAAGGTAGAAGTTAAGATCAAGAAACATGCACAGTCAGGGAAAAAAATGGCTCTAGCCTAGAGATGACTTTGGGTTGGGGGTGTTGGCTCCTAAATCAGGAATGCAGGCCAGCAACCAGTTTCAAAAGACTGTTTTATTCAGATCCATCCATCTTTCTTTGAGTAATTTATATATTCCAATGTCTTTACATACCTTGCTGACTAGTTTTCATTCTTCAGTTCTGTCCATGATCTATGAAAAAAATTGAGGGACAGAGGGTTCATCTCACCTCTCAATAATGAAGATGTCTCTGTTAGTGGTGTTAACTTCATTTATAATCTAAAAATAATCAGCATATGAACATTTGGTTTATCTGGCTGTTGTCAGCATTTGGTTTACTGATAATCGCATATGAACATTTGGTTCACCTGGCTATTATCAGCATTTGTTTACATGATGTCATGAATAGTGTTGGGTAACTCTCCATTAAATGTAGAGTCAAGATAGCTTGTAGCATATATACCTATATTCAGTACAATGAACCAGTGTGTGGTTCTTAACAGAGGGCTAGCTTTAGTTTCTGGAGCAGTGTTCCCAAAACAAAGGTGAAATGACTATAAGTCAACATTAGAAGTATTGCCTAAGTCTCTTTGCAGACCTACTTCATGATTTCCCAATTTATCCTCAAATATCTGTAGGGAATAGTGAACTCTATTTGTGACTTAAAAACATTGCTACAACAGAACCAGCGGGTGAGGTAGAGTGAATATCCACATCTGGTCAAGGAGTAGCGCAGCTTATTTCTCTTGAGGTGGTGAAAATATGTTTTATCACATAAACACAGCAGAAGGTTTAGTCTAGCCCTAAACAAGTATTACATAAATATTAACACCAATGCTCAATGTTATAATAAATACATTTTTCCTGTGTATAAAACACACATGCCCTGTGTTATTTAGGTTGCACACACATTTAGAAGAGTTGCAGCTCTAAAAATAAAATTAGGGGTGTTTAAATCATTGAGTACTAGATATTATTTATTAGGCACAAACTTGGATCAGTTAAAAAACACAAAACACATGACTTGATATAAAAAAGCAAGGGACACTATTCATCCATAGCAGTAAAAATTCCCTAGCAGAACAGCAAGCGAGCATGCTTTTAAGAACTCTAATGATTCTGTGAAAATATGCCCTCTTGCTTTATAAGGAAGTTATTATTAAAGTTATAATATGGAAAAATTATCATTAAAGCTATCATATGGAAAAAGTGCACAACCTTTTTGGGTAAATCTCAATACTTTCTCTAACCCTAGTAAGTTAGAGAGGTCTACTTCAGCACAAATAAAAGTGTAAGTCTGGCATGGAGTAGAACAGATTTCAAAGCCCATTTATCATCTGTGTTTTGGTGATCAGCAAGCAAGCAAGAGGATAAACTATTTAGAACAGTCAAAGACAACAGCTTCATTGGATCTCTGGCCAATGTAGTGTTTGAAAACTCCCCAGTGTTAGCATTACTATATGGACCGAGCAGTGAACAAGTCTTGTTTTTCCTGCATCTCCTCTAGATTTCTGGTAAAAGTATTATTTAGTGTACAAGCTCAATGTCCTTTTGTGTTAATTGCCCTGATTGCCTTTGATTCACAAGGAAGACAAATACAAAGATGATTAAAAGGACCTTAAAGCAAAGGTATTTCCTCTCACAGACTCTTAATTGTCGGTGTGAGGCAGTGGAGGACACTTGGTGCTCGGCCCCATGGGGAGATGAACTGCAGAACAGGAGGTGATGAAGTAATGACAAGGTGGGTCGGGCCCATCTGTGAGAACTCACAGCAGGAAAACCTTGAAAACCCATCAGTGACATGTTCACTGTCATTAAACAAGGCACATAAAAGACCAGCTGCTTGGCACAGTAGGTAGACATCTTTTAATGTGACTTAATTTGAGTGCTATTCAAAAAGGAAAAAAATAAAACCTCCACTAGATTTTACAAACACTATATGTACAACACTAGATCCAGAGAAATCAACTCGTTCTATGAGCTGTGTCCACTGGATTCTCTGTTTTCATAAAGTCATTAAAGGTTCATCCACAAAGAGCTTTTTTTGAACCTAGAGCAAGCATTAAAAAAATTAATGTGATTGGCTACAGGATTATCAGTTTCCACATAAACTGGGGAGAAATACAAGTTAATTGGCACATTTATTTGTTTTTTGGCTGCTTTATAATATTTGTAGCCAGTATTCTAGAATAAACTGGGCAAAACAAATTGTTCTTTTTGTGAGTATTGTGTAACTGGCTTTAGTAGAACTATGTTATTAATGTTTTTATGAAACCTTAGTATGAAGTACCAGTTCCTAGCTAGGTGATCTTTCTATTACTGTTGATGTTGCAACAGTTATAAAATTTGTTTTAGCTGAGTGTTTGCTTTCTAAATAAAAATGTCAGGTGAGCACTCACTTCAATCTGTCATACTAAAAAACAGTTACAGAAACTGCCAGAATATGCATGCATGTCTGCCAAGCACTAATAGATGCGAATAGATATATTTTTATTCCACTGTTATTTATTTCATTACTAGAAAAAAAGGTCTGTGATGCCAGTAGGTACCAAAAGCTGACATTTCATCTAAGATTCGTGACGATGTTTAGGTGTTTGGTTGTCTTTATTTTTTCTAAATGCAGTAAAATAGCTGATGTCATGATTTTTGGTATTTGATTTTTAGTGGCTTACTGACCACACACTACTGTAGCTGTTCTTCTGAATAAATTATTTCACTTCTAAAAGTAACATTCACTGCATGCATGTGAGTATAAACACATAAACTTTAAAATGCACGTAGCGCTGTGATAAACCAAAATCTTAATTAACGGTAGATCCTGGGTCTGCAGATTTCCTCTGAAAGTCCACTTAAAACCATGCTAAAAGCACTGGAAGCAGGATGGTCCCCAAAACTCCTCACAATTGTATATAACTTTCTTGAGTCTTAAAAAATGAAGAGTAGGGCCAGATAGTCTGAATGCGCTCTGAGAGGGGAGGCAGCAGTGGAGACCATTGAAGGTCACAAACATTTAGGTTTCATACCAGAACAGGAAAACAAGTGTTTTCTGAAAGTCTAAAACAAATTCTATTGCATTCCATTGCATAATAATAAAGCACATCAGAAGTATCAGAGAAGTAGCAAAGCCTCTTCTACATTCTCAAATTCTTACATATTTGACCAGCTGCTGTTTCTTATCCCACCTGCATTAGTATAGTCCATCAGTATAGACCCACTTTTATACTTCTGTGGAAGAGCTTTTTAAATCAAAATATGATGTAGTTATTTTCAAAGGCTCTTTTTTTTTTTTTTTCTTTAACATAGTCTCATCTATTCTGATCTTTAGCAAAGCTCAACTGAATTATTTTAGGTTAATGACAAGGATAGGTCATTATTTTTACATCACATTGGTCCATCATCATGCACTTTAATGCTTTTGTACCTATGATATTTTTCTAGATACTTTGATTGTCTTAATTGTGGAGAAGACTTTAAATATTTCCTCAACAAATATTCAAATGTTGATATTCACTTTAGAGAAAACAGGTAGTGCTTCAGTGTCTTGTATTCGTGTGGTGAGGAACTGAGTTTTGATTTCTTTGCTGGTTTGCCATCTTTTCTTCAATCCTGTAATAGAATTCCTTATTCTAATCAACATATTTCCCTGGTAGAAATAAAGATATATATAGTGTCAGCTGAATGATTACTGCTGCCAGCCATCTTCTAAATCTTTCTGCTCTTTTCTGTCCAGTCCAGTGTGGTTTTAAGGCAATATATAATTGCCTTATTAAGGCAAGTTATTTTCATCCCAGAAACTATGTGATTAGGAAAAAAACAAGCTTTAGTATTGAAGTATTTTAAGCATATTTTGATATTAACAATATAAATTTCATCATAGACTGATGTATGTTAAGAATGTCTCTCATAACATACTTTATCACCTCTTAGTGAAATATAGTTAAACAAAAGATAACTCAGGGTAAAGCTTTTAAAAGAGACTTTTGAAGGTCCTTTCTCCAGCCTCCTGCTCACACAGCACCAGCCCTGAGGTCAGACAAGTTTGCTCAGGATTATCCACTTCAGTCTTGAAAACCAACAAGGATGGAGCCTGTGCAACCTCTGTAAGTTACCTATTTCACTACTCTACTGTCCCCATGGAGAAGACAGTTTTCCTCATATCCAGTCTGACCCTTTCTGTTTTCAGTTTATGACTGTTGTATCTTGTCAGTCTCACATGCACAATGTGAAAAGCCCACCTCCATCTCCTTGTTGCCCTCCCATGAGGTCCTGGGGAGCTGCTGGTAGGACTCAAGAAACAACCTCTGCAGGCTGAACGAGTCCTGCAGACTCAGCTCGCAGGTCAATTGATATAGACACTGTGGGTGGCCCTCTGCTAGCCTTGTCCCCTTTTATTGGTGTCTGGCTTGTATTGGGAGGATCCTGAAATTGAACTCAGTATTGCAGATGTGGTCTAACAAGCAATGAATAGAGGGAAATAATCCCTTCCTTCCACCTACAGGCCATGCTTTTATTGATACAACTCAGGATGCTGCCAGCCGTCTTTGCTGCCAGGGCATGCTGCTGACTCATGAGGAGCTTGCTATCTGCCAAGACTCCAGGGACTTTTCCACAGAGCTGCTCTCCAGCCAGTTTTTTATCATTTATTTATCCACCCTTCCAGACTGTAAAATCCCAACTTGCAAACAAAAATATTGTGGGAAAAAATGTTTCATGATTGAGTTCTTTGCTGTCAAAATAGAAAATGGAAGAGAAAGGTTATGAATTTGTTACTTTCAGCAAATTCAATTTAGTATCATAACTAATTACAGAGTGCTCACATTTTAGAACACCACCATACAGACTGTAAGCTGGTACACAGTGTATTCTGCCTAGCATCAAATATTTAATCTTAATCAAGTTGCTTTTCAGTATAAAGTTAGTTACGAGTTACACAGTGGTTTAGTAGCATGTATATAACCCACCCCAAGTTACCTCCTAAAAGAGGTAGTCCTTGATCAAAAAATAGCTTTTAAATCAAAGCAAACATGAACAAGTTGTTCTTCCTTTCCTTTTTCAGCTAAAAAAAAGAATAACAGAGAACGGTGATAACCAATTAAGCAAGTTATTTCTAGCCTAGTTTTGTTTGGACTGATTTCACAGTGAAGACTTAGCTGATTCAGAGGAAATATAAGTTAGTTCATTTTTTCCTTATTGATACTGACATATAATCATTAGTCCATGATTTCCAAAATAGTGCTGTGGCTGTTGATTTCAAAATCAGGTGATGGGCTTTCTTGTTCAGTGTCCAAAAATAGAGTTAGCTTCTGAAAAGCTGAGGAACCAAATTTTAAATTTACATTGGGCTACATTTCTGTAGTTATTTAGGTACCTGAGGGTGAAAAAGAAGCTCTCTGTTGTGACACATGCTAATTGTGCACCAATTCCCAGTAAAAGTTACCTCTGAGCAGTACAATCTGCACATGGCACAGAATTGTAAAAGTACCTAGTCACTTCTGAAAAATTTAGTAAGCTCTTCTTTACTACTTTGC